TTGCGATTAAATGTATGTATGTACGTTGAACTTCTTTCGCACCGCACATAGCCAACCGTGCTAATCGGAGGCACTCGGAAAAGACAACAAACTAAACACAAAAAGCAATTCTATAGAAATTAGTTTTCAATCTCGATGGTTTAAAAGTGCATAGCTCTAGTGGTTTCCGAATATTGGAAGGAAGAGCGTTCCAGACAGCCGCAGAAGCGCATTTGATGGCACCACAATAATGCTTTACGCCTACTATATCTGGCACAATATATGAGAACTCATTTTACACGTGAATTACCCAGAAAATAAGTCTCGTCACTTTTTTTTTCAGGAATGTCCTACATAATTTAGCAGTATCGAGGCAATTATGCAAAATTATTTTCCCGATCGAGAAATTACCCACCCGCGTTGTTGTTTTTACTCTGCAGATTCGGACCTTGACGTGGCCTACTCACTTTCGAACGTCGCACTCCTGCCAATTAAACCTTTCCCATTCCAAGCCGTTTGCTAGTTGCAGGGTGGGGGGTCCCGTTCACCGCTGAATCTCGGTACACACGAGCGGTTCGGCGTTATTGTGTTTAGAGAGGCATAGCACTGCTGTTTTTAAAGACATTGTGCTGTACTCACCGCAGAGAACGGTAGCGGCACGTCCACACTCTCTGGTAGCTGGCGCCAAACCGTGCCACATGCCATACCCGCTTGGTCTTTTACTTCCAAATCCGTTGACGTATACATGGAATCGTAAGAAAAACTAATGGCATGCACATACATCATCAGAACGGGAAAGGATTAATATATTTTGTTACCAGGCCCATGAAGAAACCTTGGGACTGATATCAGCTTGCAAACTGTTTAATAATCCAAGGCGCACATCCAATGATGTATTTACATCATGACGTGTCATTGCAAAGCTTTATTTGCTGTTTTCATGAATCCAGGCTGGGCGGCACAGTGGTCAGAGCGTGTCACTCGTGAACGTAAGGCTAAACGTTTTGAACCCTGGCCAAGGGTCAACTTGGCCCTGCATCCCTATAAGGTCGACAAAATAAGAGTAACAAAAGATAATGATTAAAACTTGAGAAGCGCCGCACGGTACCCGCTCGCTTTCTGAAGAGAGCGAACGACTCGGCGGCACGGCGAAGAGCCACAGGCGATCGGGGCAGCCACGCGATGAGCTGGCACCAAATTCCCGTTGCCAAGTACATGCACACTGTGACAAAAAAAAAAACCAACGCCAATTGTACCTTACACAGTTTGTATTTTGTGCGTGAATTGCTTTTTTTAACATCCATGAGACTTGCATAAGAAACGGCTGACCAGAGGTATTGAGCCGAGGTCTCAACTGACGTATGGTCGAAGCCCTATTCAATGATAATTGGAATACGTCCCATAGGACACTGCTCTCAGGCTGCTGCTGGTTGTAACCTCCAATTTGCTGGCATAGTCTTGTGTGTGTGTGTGGGTGGTTCTATGTCATACCAAATACTTTACGGTGTAAGAATGCAATGATATGTTCGCATATGTCACCTGGTTGTCGTGTTTTACTGTGATGTAGGTGTCCGTGACGTTACATCTCATAGGCTAGAGGTAGACATTAATTTGATTCTGAAGAAGTGTATGTTTTTTTTTAATAATATCTTAAACATTTAATTAATGAGCTTAAATAGACAGTAGAACCTTGGATTGATAGCTTGGTCTGCGAGGGTTTTGCAAGGCGGGCAACATTTTAAAGTAAATATTAATTTGATAAACGAGCGAGGGTCTTGCAATACGAGCAGTACGTACTGTATACGCTTTGTCTGCCGAGCATCAAGGGATCACAAGACTGTTGTGGGAGGATGCTACATTGGGATGTTTGGCCAATTCCATGAATGAGTGTGTTTGCGTGAAAACCAGGAGCACCAAGAGAAAATCCATCCATGCACGTGAGGGGTAACGCTCAAAGCTCTGCACAAAAATATTCAACAATTAATGATGTGCTAAGATCTCTTGGTCCACCTTGCAGATGTACGTAAGATACTGTTGTACTTATTCTAATTGAGCGCAGGCTAATGTAAATGATAGGATTTCTTTAAATTAATTTTTGTTCCCTTGTTTAACAAAAAATTATTTCACGCCTCATCGCCTACATTACCTATAGACATTAGTCAAACAATCCAATGACTAAACTTAGCTGATTATTCTTATTACATTCGTGAATGGTTAGGATCGGTGAGGGTTTCCTCTATAAATACATGGACTATATGAAATGATATGTTCGCATGTTAATATTGTTAATTGTGATCCATAATTGATATTGGGTTAGGGCCAGGTTGTAGTCTCCATGCCAAATGTCCTTGTCATTAGCCCTCCACCACCTGGCAAGATGGTCACCGGTGGCTTAGGGCTTCTCATGACTGAATTCAGCATTAACACACGACGACGTTTCTCTCAAACTGCTTTTGAGCTGCATGATGGGAGTTTGGAAATCAGAATCAGAATATGTATTTATTTACACTGGAGGAATCCGGTGAGCTGTAAAGCTCTTTTTCACCATTGTCCAGTACTTTCACAGATGTCCCGTAGTTCCACAGATGTCTCATTGTTCCACAGATGTCCAATGCTTTCACAGATTTACAGGAGTTCCACAGATGTCCAGTAGTTTAACAGATATCCAGGAATTCACCACCCGGTGAAGCTCCAAGCAGAAACGTTGTATTTTGATGAGTCTTAAGCCACCAGTGAGAATTTGATCAATACTTTGGCATGCATATAATTAATATCTTAATATTTTTGTAAATGTGACAATCCTGTCGGGTGGTTGAGGGTTGATGATATTAATCTTTGACATTCAATTTCCATGTAACCAACCCTTACATTATACATGGATCAATGTATTAGCTATGAAAACAAAGGTATTCTGGTGAATTACATTATGGCAATAACATTGTGGTAATAAGCTCCATGGCAGGAAAGGTTACCCTAAGCATTACGTTGTCGTGGTGAACTTTGTAATAACAAAACATAACAAATAGACTTCATTTTGTCTCACTGCATAAAATAAACTTACATTTTACTCTGCTGATGTAGCTGAGAAAGTTAAAGTCTGTCCCCAGTTTAAGTTTTTTGTCAGCATGAACAAATGCTACTCGAAAATATTGGTCTATAAGGCCTTTAAGGAGTATGCACTGAAACGTTCCTTGATTTATTTGCGCGTGGTGAGACAAGATGTGCATTTTTGTACGCTGCAGTCCACATCCCACAGGGGTTCCTCTGTGTACCAGTGAGGGTTCATTTGTTTGCGTGTCACACAACACTTTTTTTTTCAGAAGGACTTCTTTGATCATTAATGGATCAGTGGGGAAGACCCATGGGCAGTTCTCTGACCTCTGGGCTCAAGGCTAAGCAGATTAACAATTTCTTGTATTGAGAACTGTGAAGTGTTGCATTCCCTGGAGGGAGCATTAAGTGTGCTTAACATTAAGTGGTCACCTTTTTGTGGGCATTTGAATACTATAATGCCCTCGTTAGAACGAGGAAATTTGTGGTATAATTGTGCTGTAATCAAACACACACATTCCACGAACTAAACAGTCCTCCATTGTAAATTGTCCATATGGACGAAACTTTTATGGAAATTATTATAATAAATGTAATAATTATAATAGATGTAATGCATCTTGTCATTCAGAGACGGTGCCCCATGGCTGAAAAATTGCTTGGTTATTCAAGCATCAAAGGTGCATAAGATCATAAAATCAAATCCCAGCCGGTTTTCACTTGAGGGTTGGTAAAAATAAGGCAATAAGTTAAATGGGCACCATCTGGTAAAACACTACCCATCGAAGAAAGTCTTCAGGGGTTTTTTAATGTTCCGGATAGACTGATCACCAAAGCAAGTTGGGATTTCCACAGCTTACTCGATGCCTTTGCAGAGAAGACATCCATGCAATATTCATATGGGCATGGGAAAACTTTGTCTCTTGCCTCTGTTTTTTTCCCATTTCCCTGTGGCTCGTGTGAAGCTAGCTCATGACTCTTGATTTGCTGTGTTAGAACAACATCCTAAAGTTATTCTGTCTATGGGGAAAGCATGGCCACCAAATGTGATCTCTGTGTAATAACGTGACGCAGGCAATGCACACGCACACACACTCACACTCTCTCTCGCTCGCACCGTATCCTTTATCAAGTGGGCAATGACTGTGAAGTGTAAAAGACACGAGTCACACATCCACCTGACCCCATAGCCACAGTGACTTTAGGGCAGCTATGCCCCAGGTTACAGATGTGTTGTGTTGCGCCCATTTGATGCACTGTCGCACGGCCCGTCCCCCCAGGAGACTTGGATTATTTCTTGCTGGATCATGCGTCATGGCATAGCAGCGAGGCGTCCCCAGTATTTGCGGTGAGCCCAGAAAGCCGCGAAAGAGGATATTTCACGTTCCCCGACCACTCCATCTCTTGCCATCGATAGTGCAGCAGCTCCCCCCTGTCATCCTCCATAACCATCCAGAGCAATGCATGCAGCAGCAGTAAGGCCTGGGTTCAGTTCTCGAGATGGTGTTGCAGTCTGCCAGGTGTTTTGTCTCATTCCTATGCCAGGCTTGGCTTACTATGGTGACCGAATGAGTGCAGGGTGTTTTTATTTAATCAATACATTGAGGTTATGCTCACCCGCTACAAAGTCATGGAAAATTGTGGAAACCTACCAATGCATGAATATAACCTCCGCTGTGTGATGTAAGACTCCTTTATTCACAAAAGGCATGGATGAGAAAACTCTGTAGCGGCAGCACTTTCTCACAGAACTTGACCCAAGCCTCACACAACCGCATGCACGTTCTTTTTGAGTTTAATTAATTTGTTTAAGCAAGTTGATTCATTGTTTTTTTATTTAATTCAGTTTCATTTTGTGCCCGCCTTTTTTGCCTTATCTCCCCTTCCCTCCCCCTCTCCACCCACCCTTCCTTTGTTGTTGTTGTTGTGTTGTCGGTGTGTGTGCGTGTGCGCACGTGATCACCGCTCAGGGGAAACAGTGAGGGTGAAAAGAAAGACTAGCTCTCTCGGGCCCATGGCCGCAGGCACCGCCACTGAGCGCCCCAAGCGGGCGGTGAATTTCGTGGGTGGGAGGTCGCTGGACGATGGCCTCGACTGGCGCGAGCCGCAGACCAAAGACTCGGGCATAGACACGTGCAGTAGCACGACCCTTAACGAGGAGCACTCTAGCAATAGCGACAAGGTACAACATCTGCCACTTTTGTTGTTGTTGTTGTGTGTGCACCCTCACAGGCAAAGCTAGACGCTGCCATTAGGGTTGCCACCGTCTGAAGTACAAAATACTGGAGGCACGTAGTGGAAATAAGAATAGCTTTACAATACGGGAACAGGAGGTGGGGGGGGGTTCTTACATGTAAATGCATTGTCTTTGAGTGATGTTGTTCATACGGCGGACGCCAGCATGCTCCTCTTCTCATAGACAATTTGACTCCATCCCGTGCCGGAACCCACAGACATAGGTTGTTTGACAGGTGGGATGCCCCATCCCCCGGAATCCCCCAATGGAAGGGGATGGCTCCCCCCCACACGTGACTCCGAAGCCGTCAATTTCCTCAGTGCTCTAGGATTTCTGGGAACTCTCAGACATCGTGTAGGCTCCTGGAGTTTGGAACGTTTGAAATCGTTTTTGTGCAGCTAATTCTGGGGTCCCCTAAGGCAATATAAATGCATGTTTTAATAGTATGTTATTTCTATCGCCTTAAGCGAGCTGCAGCTTTAAATGTGGTGCGAGCGGCGGTGTAGGGAGCGTGTAAGGCTCGCTGGCCCAGGAAGATCTGGCCGCAATGCTTGCTCGTGACCTGCACATACCCTCGTCGGGGCCTGGCGATATACAGATGAGGTTGACAGGAGTTTGGGTCGGCTCACAATATGAGCGATCTTGCACTCCGCGTACCGTCATCTCTGAGGCGATGACCGTAATGGCTGCTCTGGCGCATGATAGTTATACAGAGCAAGGCGGACGCTGAGCAAGACATCCCTGAGGAAGCGGCGGCAACCTTTGGAGTAACCGGGGATGAACGGATCAGGGCCACGCGCACATGGCCAAAGTGATCCAGTGGCACTCGGTCCCCTATGGGCCCTGCCAACGCAGGCAATGGGGTGTCAGCAAGGGAGCGCCCAAGGCTCCCTCATGCCATCACCGACCGGCAGCACCAGCCCACCGTGTGGGCACACAGCCCCAGGATTTGCCGTGCGAGGCCTGCCCACAACTCTTTGGTGGTGTGCACACAACACATAGATCGCCCACCACTAGGAAGCCATCCTGTCCGAGCCAAGGAGAAAGGCCCACGTGGAGGGCCGACAGCCTCTGGAAAGTGCCCTTGCAGATCGCCTTGGGGCAGGATGACTGCTCATTGGCGCAGGACCTTTCAAACCACAAATCATGGTTACACCTCTGATTGGCACGGTGTGTAATAAGTTCAACATTCGTACATACAGAATGAGCTTATGCAAGAGTACAAAGATGAGGCTGAAGAAGACCTCAGGAGAGCTCAAAAGTCCATAGTTCCTCTGGACGTAACAAAAGCTCCTCCAGCACCCAGCGAGAATCTGTTAGAAACAGATTTGTCTTCATTTGATCTAAATACCACAAGAGAAGGGTTGGGTGAGTGGGGTGATCCTCAACATCACAAACTGACTTGTATAGTGAAAGGTTTGTTAGGAAACTCCTGTAAGGCAACCTAAGGAAGCTTTATAAAAGTGGTTTGAATAGTTCTAGACCTAATGGCGCTGTATTTAGACATAGAGGCCTCAGGAAATAATAATCAAATGTGAGAACACAGAGGCATTGGCATTAACTAATTTACTCTTTTATCAACACATGGGTGGGAAAAAAAACGCTTTCAAGCTTTAGGATCCTCAGATCAGTAGAGTGCAGATATGCAGTCTCAGAGGATAGATGGGAAAGTTTTCTTATAATGTTCTGGTTCAATTCAGCAATGGCACGGCTTGCAAATAATCCGCCAGCTTCTGAAGATCCATCCCTGGCCTTACCAGATAGCCTGCTACAAGAAGAGAGGTCACGCCATGTTTGCCCTTCTTTAGACGACCTGCTGCTAACAAAGCGAGCTCTGCGGAATCACCGAGAGTGGTGATCACGGAGGAGATTGACGCGCTTCAAGTGGGAAAGGCCTCCAACTTGATCAGGGATGGCCCTTCCAAATTTGCATTTGATTCTGAATGCTCTGCGTGGCCCTCCGTCTGAGCCCCTGGCCACGTGTTTGGAGTGTTTCCTGAGGACGGCCTCGGCAAGGCGGATCAGCGGGATCCACTCCTTGACGGTTGGCCCAAGTTATGGAGCGGCGTCTAAAGATCCCGAACGTGGTGTTGGAATTCAACGTTAATCAGGATGTATTGCTCCCGTCATACATTTAGTACCAAACCAATGCCATCCTCGGTGGGGACGAAGGTTGATCGGCCTGGGCTGGGCCCACTCCTCTTCGCTGAATGCTGTCAAGGAGTAGAGGCAGTCGGAACAGCCCGTTGTTCTGTTTGGTTTACATAAAAGAACAGGGAGTGCATACAAGCGGCGTGCCGGATAAGTGGCCTGGGTACGGTTGGCAGTCGTAACCTGCATTCCACAAGGGCTGCGGCTGTGTCCTGCTCAAAGCAGGGCTGGTGTTCCCCCTTGCTTGAGCAAAGGGGAGCTCTCCTACAAGGCACTGCAGGCCGGACACTTCAGGGTCTCAAGACAGCCGTTTCAGGAGAGCCGTGTCTCTTTAACTGGGCTTTGGCATCGGCTAACCCGTCGACGAGAAGAGCAGCGTGTCGGCGCTTCGTTATGGTTTTCATAGACAAGCCGCCAACACTCCCTCCGCTGCCACGCCACGCCACCCACCCTGTGCAAACAGCGTTGTTATTTGTCGCTTAATGTTGCCAACTACTTTGTACTATTGCTGCCGGATGAGCGTGGTCACATTGTGAATTGGCTCCGATGAGTTATGTCACTGAGGAAAATGGCGACTCGTTGGGGGGGGGGGGGGGCGCGAACGTTATGGAGGTGGGGGGGCGGGTCCTACCCATAAAAAGTTTTAGATTTATTGCTGCGGGCACGCAATGGAGTTCAATTGTCTGTGAGAAGTGGAGTGTGTCAGCTGCCTATGGAAACTGGACTCAACGTGAGTATTCAAAGCAATGTATCATTACACCGCTGTCAAAAAATTTTTTACCGGGACTTTTAATGAACCCGGGTTGATTTGCATATTTCCCGGGATAGCTACCTCAAAAATAGGGTGTCCTGGGAAAACTAGGACAAGTGGCAACCCTAGCTCTCCTGTGTGCACATTTTTTTCTCAGACTTTCGTGCCCACGTCACCAGGGAGGTGATCTTGGGAAATTTCCTCCGCTTCATAAAAAAAAAAACATAAAAATTGTAATAATAATATAATAATAATTTACAGTTATGCTATTTAAATGTTTTTTTACATGCATTATGAGATTTACACTCAGGATTTGGCTCTGATGCAATACATTTTAACTAAATAAAACAACACATGTAGCTATTTGGAAGTTGTGCTATTGCCTATAAAACTGACCAGTACAATATATTACCTGTTCAATACTTTATAAAACATTCTTATGTTCATTTGTAACTGATCTTGTTTATAACTTGCTGAAAAGCCCACTGAGATGACAAGTCTCCTTTTCAAGGGAAACCTGAGCCACAAAAGAAAATACGGCACTACCAAACCATAAATTACAGGACATTTTCATTACCCGGCAAGGCAATTTACCAGTATGAAGGTTTATAACACAGCTAAAAATATCAGCACATGCAAATTTAATTAAGTAGGAGGCAACGTCTGTTAGCATTCACCCAGGTATTGCCCAAGCAATGCGCCTCATCGTTAAAGGTGTGGCCCTGCAATTGCTTGTTAATGCCACTGCTGGCAGAAGGGGCCCGATGAGGAAGGGGGTATCTAGAGAAGGTATTTGGGCTGCTCTTTTTAGTGACCCATTAAAAAAAAAACCTCACTGAGATACTTTTGACAAATAATAATAATACAAAATTCCCCCAAGAGGGAATATTCATTCAATCGTAAAATAGGTGCGATATTGTTCCATTGACGAGCAGTGCCAAGGTAATCAATTTGGCATTAGTATATCCATCATGTGTGTAACTCTTAAATCCTAGTTATGCTGCATTAATTATGTAGAGAGCTCTGTGGTAAATGAACAATGAAATTAATCATTTATGAGGACTATATATTTACAGTATAGAATTAAACATGTGGATATATTCCTGGCAATCTCCTCGGCAAGTTCAATTAAGATATTCAGTTTAAAATTTGATGAGTAAATAATTTTATTGGTTAATAAAGTGGATTGATAAGTGCACAAGTCATCCCTGTGGTCTGGTCAACTAGACACACTGCTTGAGTTTTAAACTTAAGGAAATGAGAAAATATTACTTTGGCTGGGCAAGCAATGTTGTGAATGCTCTTCCTGATTCAAAACCAAATATATGGTTTATTGCTTCGCAGTGTGTTATTGTAAAGTTTTAAAGTAATGCTTACATTTAATTTGCTTGCAACGAACTCATAAATAAATACTAACACGTAAATCACACACTTCTAATAATACATCATGCGAAAAAAATAATGGTAAAGACAGTCCATGAATCGTCATAATTCTTTTTTACTTGCAAATATGTTCTGCTGTGGTTTCAGTATGCCGCAGGTGCATTATCGTTTTTGACATTCGATTAAAACTCGAGGAAATTTCACCGGGTGCCTCTCTGGCTTGGCATCTCTCTAAGCCTCTTATTTCCATATTCTTTGGGCCTTTCGGTAAATTCACGTAGATAGGTTAAAAAATAATAACAAAAACTACGGCGTTTCGAGCGCAACACAAGCGATCGTCATCACGTTAACAGGTTACATTTCTCACACCAGCACAGCCACCTTCGCACGCCGATCTCGACGTGGCGGCGGCTCTGCGATCTTCCATTAACATGCTAATCTCTCCCATAAACATGCTAATCTCTCTCATTAACATGCTAATATCTCTCATTAACATAGCCACCTCAGCGCTCTCGCCGTGGAGGCTGCTCATCTCTCACATTAACATAGCCACCACAGCATGCTCGCCGTGGAGGCCGCTCACCGATATCCCATTAACATGCTCATCACTCGCATTAACATGCTCATCTCTCACATTAACCCGCTAATCTTTCAATTTAACATGCTAATATCTCACATTAACATAGCCACCTCCGCGCGCTCGCCGTGGAGGCCGCTCACCGATATCCCATTAACATGCTCATCTCTCACATTAACCCGCTAATCTTTCACATTAACACGCTAATCTCTCCCATTAACACGCTAGTCTCTCTCATTAACATAGCCACCTCAGCGCGCTCGCCGTGGAGGCCGCTCACCGATCTTACATCAACATGATAATTTTAACCTGGCAGCCCTTTGATTGGTGGAAACCCACCACCGTCGCGGTCGCTGCCCACCACTCACATTAACATAAGCTGCTCCGCCCATGCTGCTGACATTTGGGCTACGCCCATTTCAAACCTTTATAAACAGTTTGCCTTTCGAAGTTAACCCCCTTTTCCTGGTGACAACCACTTGTGTTGCGATCGAAACGTCGTAGTTTTGTTTATTTGAACCTATCTATGTGCTTTTACCGAAAGACCCAAAGAATATGAATTCCTGCAGTTTTGAAAGCTTTAAAGTCAAGATTCCTCTTATTTCCGTTACTCTGCCACTTGAACTTATATCTTCCAGCTGGTCCAAAGCTGATGCATAAAGGCCAAACAACCTCCTTTGCCTGCCCTTTTTTGTATTATATGCACGCCTACATGCATATGTGTATGAGTATGCATGTAAATGGATTTATATCTTAACCATCGTTATAAATGCTATGCTGCATGTATACAGGGTAATGAATGGGTCTCAACTCTGGAAATCATTAATCCCTGCCCTCTTGCCGCAGGAGACTGTGTTTCTTTTCACGCTCCCCTTTTCTGAGTGGCTCAGTTCCCCACTGGCTGCAGCTTCTTTATAGGGGTGGGATTCAACTAATTGGGAGATCTCTTCTCACCGGTACACCTCAAACATCCTGGCCTCAGCTTGAAATTAACGTGTTGCATTTTTTTTGTCGGCCCAATAAGTTTGGCAACGAATTTCAGCCGGACCTCGAGAGTTCAGTTCACACTGCCTCTTTAAATTTGGAAGGACACGTGCACCCCACTTGTGCATTCACAAGCCATTGGGACATTTGTGCATTAGCTTTTCCACTGTTCTGGCCACATGACAATTATCCCATTCACATTGAGGTGATCAGATGAGCTGGACCGACCATTATTGAATCTCCTGTTCATTTCCACACATATCCCTCCTGCTATATCATTTACTATTTGCCTTCTTAATTTATTCATTTGTTTTTATCATTCTTAGAATTTTAGTCAAATGTGTTGTCCATGCTTTATTTCAGATTCAATGTGCTTGTTTCATTTTGATCTAATGCAGTCTCTTCACAGCACAATCATGTTTACGTTGAAAAGCCCTCACAAAAAACACCCTACAGGATTGCAAACATGTCTCAAGTCCAATTACTGCGTAATTAAAATATCTATGTATATGCACTCGTTAAGAAAGTTGGCCAACATCCAAATATAGGACCACAGAACTTAGGCAATTGTTGGGGCCAGTTATGGCTGCCTTCCTACTTACTCTGTGGTTTTCCAACCCCTCTGAATAATTATCTCTTTCTGAAAGTCAACGGTAAGTGCGCATTACCGATTATAAATGATTAATTATAGCTGTTTAATTAAATTGCAATTTAATGCCTTAGAAAATGTATTTCACTTGCTTGCATTGGATGTAATCCGATAGGGTTTATAATCTAAAATCCCTCATGTGTTATTCAACTTTCTCGTTTCCAATATTTTAATTCAAATGTCAAAATTTTAAGAACTTTAATAATTATCAACCACCACTTCAAATATAATTGACGAAGAAAATTTGACTTTTATATGTTATCGATGACCTTTATATAATAATTAATTCATATTGTGAGAAAATTATCTAATTATTGCTAATTGTGTCATAATAATGTCACACTGAAGGTAGTCCAGGAATATATTAAGGCACAACTTGAATGTGGGAACATTTTAAACACCCCTTATTAACAGTAACTATCACAGGCGATTAGTTGCATATGTCATACAGAATTATATACTAAAACATCGATAAACCTGAAAATCATAATAAGTTATGGCCCTATAAATAATATACCCCGAAATGGCCACATTCACAATATTGCTTAATTATTCATCAAACAGTTATCCCAATGTATAGATGAATACAATAATTCCACTTATAAATACAGCATCGAATAAATAATTGGGTTTATTAAAAAATAAATTCACAATTAAAATATTCGGCATCAGCAAGGATGATGATGATGATGACAATCATCGCAGGCTTGTTGAGCAAATCATAGCACCCACGATTCAGCACCATCGACCAGAACTCACGAAGGCCAATTACCGGCGAATTAGCAACACAACAGAAATAATACCCGGTCCTCCCCACTCACAAGCGATGTGGGTGGGTGGGATGAGCGGCGCAGCGAGTGGTCTGCGTGGCCCAGGCGCGTGATGGTCACTGTTGACCCCCCCCCCCCACCAGCACCCCGTGACGTGGCAGCCCTCCAGGGAGGGCGACCGGCTCATCGGGCGCATCATGCTCAACAAGAGGATGCGCGACGGCACCATGCCTCGAGACTCGGGGGCGCTGCTCGGCCTCAAGGTACGGGCACCTCGCTCGCTCGCTCGATCGCGCGCACGCAGACGCGCACCATGCATGCGCACAGTGAGCACTCGGCGGTACACATCGTACTCAGCCAGCCGCAAGGGGGTGGATGGCCAACAACACACCCGGCCCCTTCTTTGGTTCTTTCGGTAAAGTCACCACGTAGAATGAGAATAAAATAATAAATTGATAAAATAAAATAACACGATAATATTCTCACGACGTTTCGGCCACAACACAAGCGGCCTTCATCAGGTGAAGGGACGAGACTGTCTGGTAGGACAGCGCTGGAGTGAAAAAGACAGTCTCGCTCCCTTCACCTGATGAAGGCCGCTTGTGTTGTGGCCGAAACGTCGTGAGAATGTTATCGTGTTATTTTATTTTATCAATTTATTATTTTATTCTCATTCTACGTGACTTTACCGAAAGAACCAAAGAAGATGAATCATTGCAGTCACGAAAGCTTTAAATCGAAATACACCCGGCCCCCTTTGTCTCCCTAGTGGCAGTATTTACACACTGCACCGGTGAGGCTGAGTCGACCTAGGGAAGGCCCAGGACCGGTTCAGCAGATAGTCGTCACTCGTGTTGGCCGTGAGTGGGAATCGAACGCAGGTTGCCAGGTTCATAGCACGGCGCATTAACCACTACAACACTGCTCTCCACATGCACGAAAAAAACACAGAGACGCCCACGCACCCACGCACACAGTTAGTACTCGGCTGCATAGCCACCTGCCTGCAATATCAGTGTTGTACGTACGTGTGCTGAACTTCTTTCGCACCAACGTAGCCAACCGTGCTAATCCGAGGTGCGGGAAATACATACGTAATGAATTCATAACTATTGTGCTTGAAAGTGAGTCTTCAGAATAAGTTGTGAGCTGGTACCAATTCACGAATGGCAAAATAAAGCCAGAGGCAGGGGCCATCATGGTGTTGTTGTTAGGTCACTGAACCAATGCCGCTAATAGTTAATTTATTGTTTCATGCGGAATAGGCTACCTGTATATTTGCTTAGGGATTCTACCCATGGTTTCCTTCACCCACACTTTATTTTATGAATAACAACAATAATAATTAATGATATGTTCAAAGTACCGTACATCACAAAAATAAATAATAAGTAACACATTGCTTAAAGGGGAGGAAAAACCCCAGCCTCAACTTGCGTTGAGGCTGGGGTTTTATGGGTTTTTCATGGGACACAAATGAGCTTCTGCGACCGTCTGGAACGCTCTTCCTTCCGATATTAGGAAGGCACTGGAGCAATGCACTTTTACATCTAAATTGAAAACGAATTTATTTAGAACTACTTTTTGTGTTGAATTTGTTGTCCTTCCTCCGCACCTCCAATTAGCGCGGTTGGATATGTACAGTGCCAAATAAGTTCAACATACATCCATACACTGGGCAGGGCACCCACATTGAGAAGCCGTGTCCTGGGAATGTGCAGGACGTCAAATGCAGAATTTGCATTAAAGGGAAGTTCTCAACCTCCAGTTGTGACACGCGGAAATTAAAATCCTTTGCCCAAGCAGATAAAAACATGTGTCCGATTTAAATGTTTACATTTTATTCACGAGTAAGGAAGGGCAGATTGTGTTGCGCAGTGGTACCACGGAGTAAACTACTATTTTTTATTTTACCAGGTAAGGCCCACTCAACTATATAGCTATTTTTTAGTACCGTCTTGGCCACAAATGATAGCGCAACAAAGTGGCTTGTGACGTGGACATTTATAGGAGCCAAACACCCTTTAAACGTACGTTTCTAAATGTGGAGGGAAAAACCGGGGGACCCGGAGGAAAAAATCCACACGGCCACGGGGAGAGAGAACTTCCAAACTCCAAATATACAGGCGTCAGGGTCAGGATCGAACCCACGACCTTCTGTATACCAGGCGCGGTAGTTAACATCTAGCCACTGTGGGAAGCGGTCCACACGAGACCTGTCGAGCCGACACCCAGCGTGTAGGTGCGCTACTGCACAAACACCTGATTCATACCACCACTCATAAGTTTGATAAAATAAATACGTTAACAACCAGTGTATTATTTAAGAATTGTGGATCCATGCTAGTTACCCAAGCCACCCTGGACGATGTTTAAGATGCTTAATAATGAATGTAAATGCCAAAGACTCAAAGAAAAATATAAATCAGCTGATGGAAGGTCCCAAGCAGAGTGGGAGAAATTGTCCCAAGCTGTGCCATGTGGCTCCCTTCTTGTTTAATGTCCTTTTGCCAGTTGAGTGCCCGTTTTAGATGTATAAGCAAGCTGTTTGTGCCTGCTGCTACACAGTAACAATATTAATGTGCGTTTATTGAAGCGGGAGACAATTATCTTTGCTGTTGTGGAAGATTTTTTTTGTAAACTAAGGATATATTTGTGTACATTGCTGTTGGGTGACACTGGTTGGGATGCTTAGTACAATCTTAAGGATGTGATTAAAGTTCTGTTCGGGATTTGGCTCATCCGAGCATCTCTCCAGGGGAAGTCAAAAGTGGTCCACTAGTTAATAGATTGGACACACCATAGGACTGTGGAATTTGCATTCCAAGCGTTTTTCCTCCAATGTAGTTGAACAGCACTCTGCTGCTGATTTGCGCAGTGAAACACTCTGACCTTCCTTTGAGAGAAACAAACACCTTCCTTAAAATAAACCAACATGCTCATTGAATTTGCGCAAAATTATAAAGTGCACGTTAGGTAAATGCTGGCGCTTCCATATATTGCTGTGCGATGGATCGCACGCTGAGCACACTCTCACCAGGACGCGCATCATGGAAAATTCACATGTATTGACATCAATTAGAAGCGTGCTTGTTTTGCAAATGTAGAACAATGGGGACACCTGGGTGGAAAGCTGGCAATATATCGGCCACTATTAGGCTGGCTGATAAAAGCCACCGCATTGTGGGTGCACGCTAAACGTACATCACGTGGAAATTAACTAAACGCAGCCGACGATTAGCCAAATGAGCCACCTCGGGCTGTTCATGGGACACATGCAAGGTTACTGATGAATATAAAGTTAATTAAATCAATTGGAATTTTCCTACACCGTTTACAGTAAGCTACTGCAAGCCTGTGGTTGTGTCCATGTTGCCTATCGTGGGCACTTGGACACGAGCTGAACTCTCATTGAATAAGGTCAACGTTTGAGTACGCACCAAGGGGTTGGCCAAGGAATGCACTGCGACCGAGAATGGCGTCGACTGACGAGATAGAGCGATGAAATAAGTTCCGCGTGCAGGCACCAGGGGGATTATTGCATGACGGGATAGTGAGTTGTGGCGGCAGCTTGCGAAGGTCTTCATCTCGCAGTGGATTTACAATAGTCAATTATGATGACACACAAACCGCAATGAAAATCCACAAATTGTATAGTAGTATCTACTAGAACAGTTTTCTTCGCAGCTTTTCATGGGGGGGGGGGGGGGGGGCCCTTTAGCCGCGAATATATCAGCGTGAGGGCCACCACACATTTTAAACCATTGGTTGTTTGACAGCAGCACGATGATGATGATGGGGGGTGTTTTCACATTTTGTGCATTGTCCAGGGCCGCACGTCAGGGACTGCACTAAAGGCCACCAGGGGCTGCCAGTGGCCCACGGGCCTTGCAATAGAGAACACTGCTGTAGAATGTGCCCCCCGTATTAAACAGGGCGGCTGCAGCGCTTGCACCACGAACCTCTGCCACAAGCATAAAACGCGCTTTTGCTCCATCATGTAACATGACACATTTCTATAGGGGGTGTTATTGTGCATTATGTGGGCCTCAGGGTGGGAACTTTAACGCAAACCTAACTCTACAGCGGTGTGATGTTGCTCACGCTGTGCCCATACAGATACGGTGCACATACAATAAGAACATTGAGGTCCATAAATGGCTACGGGAAAAAAATGTGTCATGCTTTAAGATAGATTTCTAAGAGACGGCATGGCATCGTCAGTGATCATTCTTTACCTGAAATCCAATGACGACTACATGGGGCAAATTTCAATCGGTATTTAAAAAAAGAAAGATTTAGATTGGAGATTTGAATATTCTGGAAAACAATGTAGATGTAACTAAATGTAACCTGGCTGCCATGTGGATTTTCATTCCACGTTCATTTTGTGGGAAGGTCAACAGCGTTTGTCCTATGGATAGACTCACCCCCGCCATAGGAACGTGGAACTTACACCACTTGCACAGGGCAGCGAAAGGGTGAGCACCACCTCAATGTTACTTTTAGTCGAAAATCACCACTTTTACTTAGACCTGTTCACAACGCAGCGATCCTCTGCGTTACCTGGAATCAAATTAATTGCTTATTTTTTAAAATTGTATTTCTACCTACGTGACGTTACCGAAAGAACCAAAGAGTATAGAGTATGCTTATTGAAGCCCTCGACACCAGAACGACAGGCGGAGCAAGGGAGGTTGACCTCGTTGCTGTATTGCCCAGTCAGTTTTTGCTGTACATGCATCAATCCATACTCGACTGCCAGATACCCTGAAGTGCAGCATATGCTTGCACCCGGTGGGTTACGTCAGCGACACACATATACACCCATTACTGATTTTTTTTTTTAAAATTATATTGTAACATTTTTGGCGTGAAATATTGGCATCTTTGGCCTGGAAATACCTCCTGAATGTTGATGTAAAACACAGTTTTCTTTAATTCGGTCTAGAGAACAAGTCCATTGGCAAACTGAGCTACATTTATGTCTTCATTATCAATAATAATACATTCAATTAAACATGGAAATAATTTACGTTGCAACAATACTTTAGTTTTGCTCGTTATTTTCTTTGCTATCTATTTTTGTTAGTTTTTTGTTGATAATTTCCTTTACTTGCATTTTTATTGTGTTCTTTTATTTTAATTGCTAACCTGAGATGATCAAAACTTTCTCCATTCATGTCCATGCCTTTGTTATTCCCATCCAATTTTTGGAAACTATCTTCTAATTTTGTGTAAATAGCCTTTGGTGAGACCATAT